AATCTATGGCATAAAAGTGACCAGGGAGGGCTAATTTAGACTTGGGGAACAAGGAAAGTTTTGTGAAGTTCCATATAACTGATATGAACTATGAGGAAATAATCAGGTTAAAAGTAGGAGAGGGGGGTATTTCTAAAGAGAGAAATACATGTTGAGGGCTTCCGTTAGGATAGCACTTTTTTTTTTTTTTTCCTGAGGACTGGAAGAAGAACGCTGATATATTAACACAGTTGGAAGAATGGCAAGCATCAGAGCCCAAGAGGGGGGCAGGGCCCTGAGTGGGCAGCATCTTGTAGGTCACGAGGGGCAAATACTTCATGCAGACCATGGCAGTGTGATACTAATTGCCTCAACATTGACTGTGAAGTTAGGCATAATAATGTTTGTATTCAACAGCACAAAGAAAGGGCCTTTGATTTCAGGAGTTTTATCTAGATTTAGTTTTTGTTGTTGTTGTTTTTGTTTTCTGTTTTTCTGAGACAGAGTCTTGCTCAGTTGCCCAGGCTGGAGTGCAGTGGCGTGATCTTAGCTCACGGCAACCTCCACCTCCCAGGTTCAAGCAGTTCTCCTGCCTCAACCTCCTGAGTTCCTGGAATTACAGGTGTGCACCCCCACACCCAGCTAATTTTTGTATTTTTAGTAGAGACAGGGGTTCACCATATTGGCCAGGCTGGTCTCGAACACCTGAGTTCAAATGATCTGTCCACCTTGGCCTCCCAAAGTGCTGGGATTACAGGCATGAGCCACTGTGTGTGGCCTTATACAGGCTTAGTTTTGAGAATCATAGTTTAAAAGTAGAAGTGATTATAAATTATATGAAGAAACAGCCTTCTAAACTGGTGTCTTCTAAGAATCCTTCGTAAGCATAGATACCAAATATGTAGCCATGAGTAAATTTTCGAAGCTGAGTCTAGGGAAAACAGCAAGTACATTTACTGAGCACCTAAGGTGTCAGTCTCATGGCATACATTGTCTTATTTAATCCTCATAATCACACTATGAGATGGGTATTATTTTCCCCATTTTACAGGTGAGGACATTAAGTTTCAGAGAAGGTTGTGAATTTCTAAAGATGAGTGCGTGGAAGAGGCAGGATTCAAATTTGGGTCTTCTAAGCTGCATTATTTTCCCCATTTTACAGATGAGGACATTAAGTTTCAGAGAAGGTTGTAAATTTCTAAAGATGAGTGTGTGGAAGAGGCAGGATTCAAATTTGGGTCTTCTAAGTTTCTGAAATTTATACTGGCTCATACTAACATGTAATAATTCAAGGGTCACAGCTGAAAGAGCTTACTTGATACCAGACCTCATGAAATGAAAGATTCTTGTAGATATCAGTAGTCTCTATTCACTTTATTTGCTCAGTCCTTCCTTCCTTCCTTCATAAATTTAGTCATTCAAGTATTTAAGCATTTGCTTAATAAGCATTAACTAAAGACTTAGTAAGGCACTGTGACTGGAGAGAAGAGAAAATGAACCAGTGGGAAGAGGAAAGAGATAAAAAGATATATAAGACCCAGGATCTTTCTTCTAGGAACTTATATTAAGAAAACAAAGTCTTATGTACACATAACTATAGCACAGTACAGCATATGTTGGGTCACGAGAGAAATACAGGTTAAGATTGATTCCTGCTGTGCCTGTAAAACACAAGCAGAATATTGGTGGACAGACGTGTAAGAGAAGGACATTCCAAAATAAGCTTTCATAATTTTGGGAGATATTTGCTGTAAACCATTGCAGAACCTCCCTCCTCAGATTACCCAAACTAAAAGAGCAGAGAGCACTTTGTTCTTACCAGAGACACACGGTTAGTTAAACAAGGCTGAGAATTGAGTTGAATATAATTAATTCTTGGGCCCTTGATATGATTCCTTTTTCTTACTCCCTTTCTTCATTAGGTCAAATAATCTAACGAAGAGGATTGAAGTGGGAGGAATTTTCCAAAACATTTTGTTTGTTTTATTTAAAATACACAGTAGGCTGTAACTACTGCGTGGCTCAGCTTGACAGGATGTGGTTAGGGAATAGGAAGGGAAAGAGGAGATAGGACCAGATAAGGAAGACTTAGGATATCAGATTCTGGAGTTTAGATTTCTACTGTAGGCAACATAAAACATCTTGAATCTTGAAGTTTGTTTATATAAGCAGTTTCCCATTTATAGGAAATATGCTGAAATAGGATAGTACTTTTTTCCAATTATAGAAATAAATCTTATGCATAGAAGATATTAAGGGTATTTTTTGTTATATTTTTAACCTCTTTCAAGAGCTATTACATGTTCAGGCTATGGTTTTCCCTAGATTATTGTTATACTATTGTTGTGGGGTTTGGGGCGGTTAATCTCAAAATAAATCCCAAGAGACTCAACAAAATTGCAATCCAGCCAACATTTGATGTGTCCAAACAAAAATTTGCGTATTTCAACTGTCCCTCTGACTAGAATTGACTTTCTTTCCCAATTTCATAAGGGAAATGTTATCTCCTGATGTTTCCTTTGATATGCGAAGTCAAAAAGTTAATTGTTCTTTTTTTTTTAAGAGCATGCTGAACATGGGCTTTTGATATCTCTCTACAGCTTTACCATCCTCTAGATTTTAATAATATCATGACCCATAACCTTTTGTTTCAAAATTGTTTTTTGCAGGAAACCAAAGATGGGGGACTATCTATATTAAATATTGATTTTTAAAAAGACCTCTCTTTCTCTTGCCCTTTTTCTCTTTCTACAAATTGAGGAAAAAAAAAAAGATATTAGCGAAAGGGTTAATAGCCTTTAAAAAAATTCATTCTAAATGTTCTCTTTTAATTTCACCTTTCTCTCCTGAATTATAATAACATAGTTTGGGTAACATTTCATCTCAAATACTTCTATTTGTTGAGCAATTAGCATGTCTATTTTCTAGGTCATTTCAAACTTGCTGTGTATTAAAAGCATTTAAATAAAATTATATTGACAAAATTTTGACTTTGAGATGTTCTGTAATGAAAGAGTCCTCTAAAATAAAGTTCAATTTGTTTTTTTTTGTTTGTTTATTTGCTTTTTCTTGAGACCGAGTCTCGCTCTTGCCCAGGCTGGAGTGCAGTAGCTGATCTCAGCTCACTGCAACCTCTGCTTCCTGGGTTCAAGCAGTTCTCCTGCCTCAGCCACCCGAATAGGTGGAATTACAGCGCATACCACCATGCCTTGTTAATTTTTTGTATTTTTAGTAGAGACAGGGTTTCACGATGTTGCTCAGGCTGGTCTTGAACTTCTGACCTCAAGTGATCCACCCACCTCAACCTCCCAAAGTGCTGGGATTACAGGTCTGAGCCACTGTGACCACCCCAATATGAAGAAATCAATTTGGAAAGTATATTATTTTTCTTATTTCAAAATTTTAAGCACACATTTATGTCGTACCTTGTCCCATAATAAAACTAGGATTAACTACCTATCATTGAATGCCAACCACGGCCAGGCACTGCTTTACAGGAAGTAAAATAAAAAACCCTGGGAGGTAAATGTGTCTGCTGAATTGTGTCCTTTTCCAGATTTCTAGATTGAAGTCCCAACCCCAAATGTGACAATATTTGGAGATTAATTTGGTCATTAAGGTTAAATGAGGTTATAAAGGTAGGGTCCTAATCCGATAAAACTGGAGGCGTTATAAGAAGAGGAAGAGACAGATATCTAAGAACACATGGAGAAGATAATGTCGTGAGCCCGCACCAGAATCCTACTCTTTTGGTACCTTAATCTCAGGCTTCCAGCCTCCAGAGCTATGAGAAAATTAATGTCTATAGTTTAATGCTGAGTCCGTCCCACAGACCCTGGCCGAGCGACGTATGAAAAGAGTACTCAGGCACAGGTATGCAGTGTAAGAGCAGCGAGGGGATCTACCGGGCTCTGGTGGCCAGAGAGGCAGCAGCCTGGAAGAGCTGGAGTTGCTTGCTTTTGTTCAGTACAGATGTAATGCCGAAGGCCTGGAGCAAACACAGTCTGCGGGTAATTAACATTAATGTTCCCCCTGTCAGTGGGAAGTCAGGTGTGAGGATGATCAAAGGCCAGTTCCTGGGCAACATAAGTAAACAAGCCTGTTTAAGATGAATTCCCCTACACTCCCTTGTACCTACTCCTCAGGGTAAGAGAACAGCTGCCTTCAGCTATTCCCAGAAGCTTTGCAGAGCCTTCTGACCTTTCAGAAGCCCTGCTCCCTTCCCTATAGTTTCTCCCACCACTCTGACCCATCTCCTAGTTTAAGCCACATAGCCTATGGTATTTTGTACGGCAGCCTGAGTTGGCTGGTACAGTGACAGTCCCCATTTTGTGGATTAGGAAACAAACTGAGAGGTCAATGGCAAAACTGGCATTTGAACCTGAGTGTGTTGGATGACAAAAGTCCACTCTTCAGATTCCTCTCTTAATTTTGAATCAGAAAATTGTGAATACAGACAACCTAAAAAAAAATACCAAAGGCTTACACTGTTGGTTGTTTGTGTTTTTATTTTATAGGTTAGCAAACCGCACACAAAGCCAATGGATTACTCTCATTCCTAGTCCTTATCATCTGATTTTTGTGTTCCAGCACCATGTGATTGGTTAATTTTGAAAAATGTAGCCGAATCTTGAAATTGTAATTTCTAATGAATCCAAGATTTACTACTGCTGTATTTGCTTTTTGTAAAACATATTAAATACAAAATATCCAGTGTTGTGCCTGAAACTAATTGGCAGTGTCCCATTAAACCATATCGAAATTAGTGTCTATTAATTGGATTAGAAATTCAGTGAGAATGACAGCTGCTAGTGCCTTTTACAGTTACTTTGTTTCTTTATAATCCATATGGCAGAAATCACATAATGCTTTTTTCTTCATTGAAATAAATACTTGAGATAAAAAAGATTTGACTCAGTGTAGTCAGAGTATGTGCATTTTTCTTTCTTCCTCTTAAATTTTTGTTTTTGAAAAGTTAGTTTAAAATAGCGAAATTATTTTTTTCTTCTCTCTTTTCACAGGTTTTCACCAGCCATATTTTTATATCTGATTAGCATCGTTCCATCATTATGGCTTCTTGAACTGCACCATGAGACCCAGGTACTTCTTTTTGGAAAGTAGGAATTGAAATATTTAGCAATAAGCTACTTTCACAGTATGATCCAATTTATTTCAGGAGTGTACTTTTCTAAGTAACTGGAGTTATCAAGAATTGAATAAATAAGAGCCTATCAGCAAAAGAAAGCAAATCCACGTTTTTCCAAAAAAAGCCCCAATAAAAATACTACATTTATGTAAGATTTAGGATTATGGCTGGGCACGGTGGCTGATGCCTGTAATCCCATCACTTTGGGAGGCCGAGGCAGGCAGATCACATGAGGTAGGTGTTCCAGACCTGCCAGGCCAACATGGTCAAATCCCATCTCTACCAAAGATACAAAAATTAACTGGACACGGTACTGGGCACCTGTAATCCCAGCTATTTGGGAGGCTGAGAAAGGAGAATTGCTTGAACCCAGGAAGCGGAGGTTACAGTCAGCTGAGATTGTGCCACTGCACTCCAGCCTAAGCGACAGAGCAAGACTCCATCCAGAAAAAAAAGAAAAAGGTTTAGGATTATAACATTTTGTGATAGAGATCTTTTTACTAAGGCTTCCCCTGGCCCCCACCCTACAGGAGTTTACATGGGGGTATGGAAATTTGATTTTAACCCTTCCAGCTTCAGTGAGCTTTTATGTTGTGCTAAGAGTGGGCGCGCCTCAATCTGGCATCCTGTAAAGTGACACTTTTAGGAATTTCAAAAACAAAATCCTTATCTGTACTCAACTATATAATTACAGTTAAACTTGGAGCTATTTAAAATAGTATGTTTTAAAATGCAGACTCTGCAGATTATAGGAGATTAATTTTTGGGAGTCCCATGGGCTGCCTTAGTGAAATATAAATTCTATTCTAGAGCCCTGAAACTAAGATTAAAGGAGAGGAGTCATGGGACCCGCCATGTGTATGTATTGGAAGATCACGCTGACCTAGAAATAAAACAGTAGCTTCCAATAGGAGTCCTTAATTTATTACAGAGATTTTTAATACAGCTATTTTCTACACAGACAACTCTAGTAAGCAGTATCTAGGTTGGGTGCAGTCGTTTACTGCTGTCGATGTTCCTGTACAACTCTGAAGAGGCCAAGTTAGTAATGTCCATCAGATTCCAGCTTCGACTTCGTAGTTCAGGTTACAGGACTGCGTTACAGAGAAATGTAGTTATGACATAATCAACTTTTGGTAACTTCACTGACAAAATACTTTAGAAAAGACCTGTGAGAATTTGGACTTACATAGATTTCTTTGCTATAGTTGGTCATTTTATAGCAAGGTTAAGCCTCCAATATGTAACCCTATCTGCCACCAATGTATAACCTTATCTGTAAAAGCCTTGCTCCAAATTATAGGCACACAAAGGGTAATTTAGTTCTGTGGACTATTTTTGAAGAATTCCACAAGCAAATACCAAGAATATAAGCATGAATAAAACATTTTTCCCCTTAAATCTCCTGCTAAAAAACACTAAAGTCATAGGCTATCTCTATGTCTGTAGCAAAAATGTTTTTGTAACTGTATATGGTTGGTTCAAGTTATCATGGCTTTTTAAAACTGTACTGTAAGGAATTAGGAGACTGTTTCAATCTCTTTACTACTTACTACTTTCAAGGGTATGAAAATAAGCTCTGGTGATTTAAATCAATTCTTTCTTTCACGTCCAATTCTATGACATGGTTATCATACACAATAACCATTCATTTCCCCCAAATGCTTTTATAATATAAATTTGTTGCACAATTAATTGATATACAGGTCAAATACCATTACAACAAATAACATGCAACCAAAAGCTCCCTCTTTAATAAAAAAAGATTTTTGAGCTCCGGGCAGTAGCTGTCTAATTTTCATACTACAAAAGAAATTGAACCTTTAATAGTAATGGATTTGACTCTTTTTGACACTGAGAATTAAAAAGAATGCTCAGAGATTGAATTGGGCAGACTGAGCAGAAAAATGAAATGAAATGAAAGTAGAAAAATAGTAAGATAGACAAATAAAAGTATCGGAATTGCAGTTAAAAAAAGAAGAAATGGCAGAATAAAGCGAGTTATAGCAATTCTTCTAGTCTACTCGTTTAGAACATCTTGGGAGTGATAATAATCATTTTTCTTCAGATAGTCTGCTGTACTTTCACAAACGTTTTCACATATGTAGACCCAACAACTCCATAAGTTAGACATTATACATACATTTCTATTTTAAAGAAGAGGATTCTGAGACTCAGAAAGGTTAAGTAATTTCCCTCAGTTGATACAGTGAATAAACAGTAATGCTGGGGCTTAGAACCTAATGGATATCTAGTCCATTAAACCATATTGCCCTTCTCAGCTGTGTGTTCTGTGTTTTAGAGGAGCTTGCATCAGAATTTAGAGGAATTTGCATCAGAGTTGTTCACTGTAAAAAAGAGTATTTAATTTTCTTTCACACGTTCCATTTACTCTATATCCTAAACGTTCTAACCTATGATTTGGCATTAGGAATACATCCTGACCTATTTCATGAGATATTTCTCCTAGATGACTAATTTCTTAGCTTCATTCCTGAATCTGGTTGGGTCTACACGTATGGGAACAAAACATTTATGACAATGATTGTGACCTTAGCTTTTAGGTCTATTTATGAAGTAGCACAATTAAAGTAGTGGAAACATTCTGGTCTTGTTTTTTTCAGAGTCTTGTTTGACCCAAAGGAATATTTTTGAAGCTAATAAGAGTTTAATAGACATAGCCTGTTAAAAAAAAAAAAAAAAAAAAAAGGCATGTTGGTACCCAGACAATCTACATGAACTCACCTATCCAAGGCAGAATGTAAACAAAATAACCCCCAAAACAATACAGATCAGGCTAGGTTTTAAGAGTCAAGTCACTAGTTCATTGCAGTCCCAATGCAGAGGCCACTTAAAGGACAATCTCATCAATCTATGACAAATAGTATAACAAGTGTGGAGAGCAACTCAGATAAGTCTTAATACCATAATACATAACTACAAAGTTATTTGCTCCCAAGTTATCTTCTACTGCACTAAAGCATGGCCGTTTTTCTTAAATAACAAGATGTTTATGCACATTTAGTGATGAGAATGTCAAAAACATATTAATGTTACAATTTTTAATACAGAGTCTGTTTTCATGCCTACAAAGTGATCAAAATGTGTTTCCTATTGAAATAAATCTTAAATAGAGTCACCAAAATGCTTTGCAATAAAAATTTGTTGTTTGGTTCAAGATTTAATTTTTATCTTCATTATCTTTTTTGGAGCCTTAGCTGCACACATACACACACACACAAAGTATGCAAACAATTGTATTTTTGCTCCTAGAGATATGGCATATGGTCATTTTTCTTAATTATTCTTGTCATTTCAACCATAATACTAGTTGTTTGGATAGAGAGTAGAAAAAGTAGCTTCTGGCAGACTTTCTTTTCTGCTTTTTCAAGTAACTTATAGAATAGTCAATGTTGTATCCAGAGTAATTAAGAAAAACACACTTCTTACAGCTTTAATTTTTTAAAAAAATAAGTCCTCTAAATACAAATATGTGATCATGGATGTGTGGTGGTTGTAGTGGTGGTGATGGTGCCTGTGTGTTGTTTCAAAAATACGTTAGCACTGCAGATGTTTGAAAGACCTTCAACATTTTTTTTAAAACCAGTTTGTAAAATATGCATTGGGTACATTTACATTTTCAAGTGCCACACCTTTCTTCTCTTATATAATTTTTCCTTCTCTTACTTTCCCTTAGATTCCCAGCATCTGGTGGATAAATATCATGCACAATTCACTTGCAGAAATTCTCATACAAAATGAAGAAACAAGAAAGGAAAATGCCATTTTTTATGTGTATTGTTGAATTTTCCATAAACCCAAATTGGCTTTTAAACTGTCACTAAAATGTATGTTTTGGTGGGTGAACATGCTAATTTTTTAGGTTGTTACAGTGCTTGACAGGCAGAATTGAAAATGCTTGGATTGTTTACTTAAGAAATGATATTTTAAATAAAGAGTTTTCTGGATAAGAAATAAACTCTTAAAATACTGTATACACACACATACACACACACATAGGCACACGCTGTGGAACACTACACAGCCATAAAAATAACAAAATCATGTCCTTTGCAGCAACATGAATGCGGCTGGTGGCTAGTATTCTAAGCAAACTAACACAGGAACAGAAAACCAAATACCACATGTTCTAACTTATAAGTGGGAGGTAAAAATTGAATACACATGGACACAAAGGTGGGAACAACAGACACCGGAGACTTCTTGAGAGGGGAGGGATGGAGGGAAATGTGAATTGGAAGGCTACTTATCAAGTACTATGCTCACTACCTGGGTGATGGGATTCTTCACACGCCAAGCCTCAACAACATGGAATTTACCCATGTAACAAACCTGCACGTGAACCCCCAAAACATAAAATAAAAGTAGTAAAAGAAAAAAAGAACACTGTAGTTTCCTTGACCAGGATCATATATGTTTTATTGTTGTCACTGGTTGTTTGTTTGGTTTTAAATTCTTGCAGGGTTCAATAAAGGAATCTTAGTTACCAATCTATAAATTCTAAAGCTGTCTGCAATGACTCAGAATATTTACATCCTCATTGACCTATGGAAAAATAAGATTTGTGTAGTTGATGCTCCTTTCGTATTGATTAAAAAGTAGTTTTCAACCTCAAGCCTATATTTTGATTTTTGGAAATGTTTATGCATGTGGTATATAAGCTCTGCATATCTGCTCATAATCTCTTGAACAGATTGAAGCCATTTTGAGCTCTATCTTATTGAGCTAATTTTCTGCTGTAATTGCCTTCCCTGACCCCATTCTTAGTATTGCAGCTTCCAGGTTGAAGGAACATCACAGAATACCAGCAGAAAAGAAGCCTTGAATCAAACACTGACATCCAGTGAACAAACCAACAGAGCTGATGATCTCATTGAGACGGTGAGAGCTTTTTCCACTGTTTTATTAAAGGATCTAGTAAATGGTGGACATGGTATAATCTTTAATTACATGCCATACACCTCTCCCCGCTAATTCTTTTCTGAAGGAAGCTAACAATTGTTTGGCTCAGGAATTCACAAAATAATAATATTTTTAAATTATTAAACATATTTAACATGCATAAGTATATACATTGATATGTTTTATATATATTAATAAATATATTTAATATGAATCATAAAGGAACACTTAAAGAGGATAAAGTGTGCACAATGAGTGACATATACATTTGTGAAGGAATGATATAATTAAAAGATTAGGATATGATAGTATTAAGACTTAATGTTTTAAGAGCAATTTTAGATTCCTGGCAAAAATTGAGAGGAAGGTACAGAGATTTCCCATTTCCTCTGTGCTCACACACAGCCTCCCATCCATCAAAACCCTGCACCAGAGTGGCACATTTGTTAAAACTGATAAACTTACATGACATTTTTGGGGATGCCAATAAAAATGGCATTTTGTTTTCAGTTTCAAACTTCATTTATTCTTTGCTAGTATATAGGAAAGAGATTGACTTTTGTATATCAACCTTTTATCCCACAACCTTGCTATAAATGTTTACTAGTTCCAGGAGTTTATTTTTTTGTCAGTTCTTTGGGATTTTCTATCCAGATAATTTTGTCAACTGTGAACAGAGACAGTTTTATTTCTTCTGTCCCAATCCCTATACCTTTTATTTTGTTTTCTTGTCTTATTGAATTAGATAGGAACTCCACCATATGTATTTTGTAGATGTTTATCAATAAAATGGAGATTTCTATCCAAAACAATTACTTCCTTTTTCTTCATAAGTCTGATATTTGGCAAAGTGACCATGACCCATTTAAAAAGAAAAAGGCACCAATCACTGAAACATACTTTCAATAATAAGACATACTATTAGTTCTGTGAGGTTTAATGGAATGAACCTTGGTTTCTAATTCATGCTCCAATCACTATTTATATCACTCTGGACAAATCACTTAGTTTCTCTCTAAGTTCTTTATCTGACAATCAAATATATTAATATCTACTAATGTGCTTCCTGTATTAATTAAATATGTTGTATGTGAAGTTTCATAGTAGTAATATAAGAAAGTGTACAAATGGAAGATTATTGATTTTCATGTATGGTTTCAATCAGCATAGCATCGTGCCTCGTCTTTTATCCTCCCGTGTGCATTTGATATCAGCAAGTGATGAAGAGAGGTAAATGAATTTTGCACAAGCATAGTTAAGTCACTTGCATAAATAAGTTGGAATCATTATCCACTTAAGACCTAAGTCTTTGTAGGGGCAATAGTATATGTTGAGACTTATTTAAAAGGTAATTAGGCAAGAGTTGTCATCCAGAATATAGTGGCATGTAAGTTTCTCTGAATCTAAGGATAATGGCAGAGTAAAATTTACTTGCTAGCTTATGGATTATTGAATAACATATTAAGTACTCAGAATAAAAATAATAATTTTATAGTTCTCTTTCTTTACATTTAGGTAATTGATAAGCATTATTACATTTTTATGTTTAGATATAATATAGTTTTAAGGCAAAAAAAGGGAAGATTTGTGCAATGCTACAAATATCTCAACATTAGTACATTTAGATTTAAAAATCTATTAAAGAAAAACATAGGAAACTTTTATGATATTAATGTGTATTTTATAAAACTTTGCTATGTGTTATTCTTTGCTTACACAGTATAATAAAATGAGACATGATCTTTAAAACATTGTAAAATTGGTTCTTTAAATACCATATGGTCCAATCCCACTAGTAAGTTTAAGGCTTAAATTACTTGCTAGTTATAGCCACCCCCATCTTAAGGACCACATTAGTTTTTTATTTTTTTTCCGAATATTCAGCTGAAAGGCGTTTTTACTTTCTTTGGTAAATAAAGAATAACTACTGAAAATGACGGTCCACAAAAGCAAACTCCTGATTGAAAGCAATGGTGAAGAAAATACTTCTCTCTCATATGGTGACTCATAATCCTTCTGTCTGTATGGGATTTCTGTTAAACAGGCCAAAGTTTTTGTGAATAACTTATCTACAGTATGTGAGAAAGTTTGGACATTGGGACTCCATCAGACATTCCTGTTAATGCTAATAATTGGAAGATGGCTTCTACCCATTGGAGGTGGGATCACTCGAGATCAACTCTCTCAACTTCTTCTTATGTTTGTGGGGACAGCCGCTGACATACTGGAATTCACAAGTGAGACCCTGGAAGAACAAAATGTGAGGTGAGCATTCTTTACAGCAAAACACCTTGTTTTCAAGGTCAAGACCATGCACTTGTCTCTTTGTTCTGTGACTTGCATTTCACATGAATAAGAATTTTCAGTGTATTTCATATGCAATGTTAGGATCAGAAAATTTGCTGCTATTTAGTTACATATCAGAAAGCAGCACAGTCTTTATGTTTTTTTTTTTTAAATACACAAGGGAGATATCTGCTAGAGAAAGGGACACATAATATTCCCTGTGGACAAGAACAGAAAAGCTCTGCATGTTTTCACAACCACAGGTTAGATAGAATCATGGTTCTCTGACAACCTTCTGAAGTGGAATGACCATCCCCAGCTCCTCCTTTCCATTCCCAAGTGTCAGAAGCATAGCCAAGCATAAAATCCTCTCCGAGAACACAGCATAGCTATAATTTACGAGAGCACTGAGAGAAGACATGGAAAAATCTCTCCCTATCCGTTTGGGGATTTGCATTCCCTGGTGTAAATGGAGAATGGGGCAGATAAGATTTTATTTTACTAAATTTTATTTTTAGTCAGTTTTGTTCAAAGTGCCCAAAGGCTTTCTGGTGTAGATGCCTATAAATTAAAACTTATTGAGTTGGTACTCTTTGTTTTGCCACAAGCAAATAAACTCAGAACCCATGATCACATCCGTTTATAGAACGACTTTCTTACCATTAGGGATTTAAGTCTCAGTGCCTGAATGTACTTAAAGCTTGGGTTGCTTTGCACTATGCCATAAAAATAAATTGGAATGAGGCTGGCTTTTAATGCTACAGTTTACTTTATGCTGTGTTTCTCAAACAACAAAACATAAAGCTCAACAAAATACACTAACTTACCAAGTAAATTTAATACCCCAATTATAGCACAAATTATATTTATAACCATGAGCTACCTTTACAAGATAATTTCCTGTTTTATCTATACTAATTTTTCTTATAGCTTATTAAGTTGACATATCCTTTTAAAACCAATCTAAATTGATTCATTATCTTCAAAGTGTTGATTTTAGTTCTGTAGTTTTAATGTTATACATATGGTCAGTGCTTCACATTGTATAATGTATTTTCTTTTCTATTTTTTTTTTTTGTTTGTTTGTTTGAGACGGGGTCTTGCCCTGTTGCTCAGACTGGAGTGCAGTGGCATGACCCCGACTCACCGCAACCTCCTCTTCTCTGGTTCAAGTGATTCTTCCGCCTCAGCCTCTGAGTAGTTGGGGTTACAGGCACGGGACACCACACCCAGTTAATTTTTGTATTTTTAGTAGAGTAAGGGTTTCACTATATTGGCCAGCCTTGTCTTGAACTCCTGACCTCGTGATCCACATCCACCCATCTCGGCCTCCCAAAGTGCTGGGATTACAGGCGTGAGCCATGGCGCCAAGCCTGTGTTTTCAAATGGAATTGATGTTGTCACAAGAAAAACATGAAGAAATCATGACAGAGCATATAAAAATAAACATCTATGGTGACAGGGACATCACAATAGAAAGATAATTAACTCCACCTACGTAGAAATAAAGATGTACATGCAGAACATTTAGGAAGATGAGAGGGAACAGGATAATAAAAGAGGTATTAAGGAGGGATATGTTTTGTGGGGCCAGTCATAGCATTGCAAGAAATGCCTAACTCAGTTATCTTAATGAACTATTAGTAGTCCCTTCCAGAAGTGGCACCAAGGAGCAATTTATAGATCTTTTTTCCAATAAAGGTTGAATATTGAATACTTTCATGAATAAAAGTTAAATTACCCAGCAAAACAAACAAAAACCCCAAATAAACAAAAACCCCCAAACCTTGAAAATTTTAAGGCATTTTTTCACTCACCCACCACTGATTGGTTATCTAATATGTGTCAAGCACTGAGCTAGGCAGAGATTGGAGAACAAACTGCGAGCAAGTGTTAGTAAAATGACACACAGTCTTATCCCAATCAAGACTGTCTCACTTTAGCAAGAATTTAGGGAGCACTTGATGTTTCAAGACACCATAAATACTCCTACTTTCCTCTCACCTACATATTAATCTGTATGCTTTATAAATACATATTTTTATGATTTTAAACTTGTGTAATATCCCAGGAAAGCTGATGTTGAATGGAGCTCAATACATTATATCACAGTCTTTAATGGTTAATGCTTTTAAAATTTGTTTTCAATTGTCATTATCGCAGGTTGAAGGCATTTTCATTTTCAACATTATCACATTGTGACAATAGCCTTCTGTAATTCCCATTCAAGTCCTATGTGCCTCTATTACTCAAATATCCATCCTCACAAAAGCCCTCCCAAAGTCAAATCCCGGAAATAATTAAAAATTTTTCTCTCTCCTAAAAATTAGCTTCCACATTCTGATTTCCCATTTTGGGTTTCACCTATATCGTAAGAATGGACACTGCAAATATCTATCTTTTCAAAGAAGGAGGCCCTTAATCCCTTCCCACTGGGAAGTCTTTGCTTTTGGGCTCAAGAGGATAATCATGAAGAATAATCTTAATACATAAGTAAAAGATATTTATATCTAATAGAAGAAAGAATCACTTCATCGTAGCCTACTCAGCATTGCCTATTATTACATTTAATTTTTCTCTAATGTTTTATTCCATAGTTTGGGCTTATAGATTTAGGATGAAGCCTACAATGTTATCTGCATTATCACAATGTCTAAATCTTTCCCCTATATTCTAGCTAGTATGTCAAATTCTATTTTTTATTAGATACACGTCCTTCCTTTGGCTCACATTAAAGTTCATCTGCCTGTTTTATGCATTTACATGGGCTTGTAAATCCTGATTCTTCAATTTTTTTCTTAACGGCTTTATGAAGTTATAGTTTAAATAACAAAGTTTAACTGTAATTCTATAGTTTAATGATATTTAGTAATTATAGATTTGTTTATCCATAACCACAATCCAGGTTTAGAACATTTCCATCACTCCCAAAAGGTTCGTGTGGCTGTTTGCAGTCAATCTTCGCTTTTTTTTTTTTTTTTTTCGAGATGGCATTTCCCTCTTGTTGCCTAGGCTGGAGTGCAATGGTGCCATCTCGACTCACCACAACCTCCGCCTCCTGGGTTCAAGAGATTCTCCTGCCTCAGCCTCCTCTGTAGCTGGGATTACAGGCATGTGCCACCACACCTGGCTAATTTTGTATTTTTAGTAGAGATGGGGTTTCTCTATGTTGGTTAGGCTGGTCTCCAACTCCCAACCTCAGGTGATCTGCCCTCCTAGGCCTCCCAAAGTGCTGGGATTACAGGCCAATATTTACTTTTAGCAGGCAACCACTGATATACTTTATGCTCTGTGGATTTTTCTTTCCTAGAAATGTCATGGAAATTGAATTATAAAATGTGTGCTCTTTTGTGTATGGCTTTTTAATGTAGCATAATGTTTCTGGGATTCATCCATGTTGTTTCATGTTTAGCTCCTCTTTAATTACTAAATAGTGTTCCATTAAATGCTTATACCCATTTTGCTTATCCATTCAGTAGTAGACGTACATGTGGAGAACTCTCAGCTTTTTGCTATTAAGAATGATGTTGCTATGAGCATTCACTGACAGACTCTTGCCTGGCTGTGTTTTCATTTCTCTTTGGCTGACATCTAAGAGTGGAATGACTGGTTGCATGTTAAGTACAAGTTTAATTTTTAATAATCTGAAGAGATTTTTCTAAAATAGCCTTATTAATTTATATTTCTACCAGCAATGTATGAGGATTCCATTTTTGCTGCATCCTTATCAACAATTGTTTTTCCCCCAGTTTTTTTTATTATATCCTTCTGGCAAATGTGTAGTGATATCTTATGGGGACATTAATTTGCAGTTCTTTAACAACTAATGTTGGTGAGCATCTTTTCATGGTATTATGAACTATTCATATATCTTCTTTGGTGATATGACTGTTGAAATTTTTTGTTCATGTTTTATTGGATTGTCTTTTTCTTATTGAGTTGTAAGAGCTCTTTATATATCCTTGATACAAGTCCTTTATCAAATATCTAAATATAAGTATTTCATCCCTGTATACAGCATGTTCTTTTATTTTTTAATGTTGTCTTTTGAAAAACATGTTTTTAAAATTTTGATGAAGTTCAAATCTATTAATATTTTCTTTCACATTTTTGATGCCATATCTAGGAAATATTTTTCCTAACCCTAAATGAGAAATACCCTTTCTTTTGTTTTCTTATTGTTATGATTTGGCTGTGTTCCTACCCAAATTTCATCTTGAATTGTTAACTCCTACAATTCCCAGATGTCGTGGGAGGAACCCGGTGGGAGGTGATTGAATTATGGGGGCAGGTCTTTCCTGCACTGTTCTTGTGATGGTGAATGAGTTTCATAAGAGCCGATGGTTTTTAAAATGTTTTCCTGCACAAGCTCTCTTTGCCTGCTGTCATCCATGTAAGAAGTGATTTGCTCCTCCTTGCCTTCCCCCATAAATGTGAGGGCTCCCCAGTCATGTGGAACTGTAAGTCCATTAAATCCTTTTTTCTGTATAAATCACCCAGTCTGAGCTATGTTTTAGTTCTTACATTTATTTCTAATACCTGTTTTTACATAATTTTTGTGTACAGTGGGAGGTAAGGCTCCAAGTTCATTTTTCACTTTTGGCACTGTCCTGTTCCAGCTGAGACTAATTTTCCCAATACCATTTGTTGAAAGGATTCTTTTCCTATTATACTGTCTTGGCATTTTTGTCAAAAAATCAATGGATCACAGATGTAAAGGTTTTTCTCAAGACTTTCTATTGTGTTCCATTGCTTTATATGTTTATCATTATACCAATACCACACTATCATGATTATGTAGCTAGAGTGAGTTTGAAATTGCATATTGTAAGTCTTCCATAATTATTCTTTTAAAATTTGTTTTAGCTATAGTAGGTGCTTTGCATTTTTATATAATTGTTATGATTCTCTTTTCAAGTTCTAAAAAAAGGTTAAAAAAATTAAAAAAAAATACCATGTTCTTGGTAAAGAATAAATTG